TGTCTGTGTGTGTGTGTCTGTGTGTGTGTGTCTGTGTCTGTGCGCTTCTGTGTCTCTGTCTGTGCGTGAGCGAGCCAGGGGACACAGGTGTGCTGGCCCAGGTGGGTTGGGCTGTGCCACCGTGAGTGGCACAGATGTGCTGCTGGTTCCTGCAGCACCCACTCTACTACAGTATGGGCAGTGGCTGCTGATAAGAAAAACAGCTTCACAGAATGGTTTGGGTTAGAAGGGACCTTAAAGATCATCTAGTTCCAGCCCTTCTGTGTGTGAGGTGTGATTTGCTGCAGGCTAAAGTCAAGTCCTTTGACTTTTTTTGCTCAGGCTGGTGAATGTCTATAGGGTGGCAAATCAGGTGCATCAGGAATGATTTGTAATACTTGCAACTGTGTTCTTCTTTGGTTTATGTGTCTCACAGATACTGGAGAATGGAAAAATTCATAGGCTTCTGTACAAATAACTATTCTTTTATTGTTGGGTTTTTTTAGCAACAAACAACAAATACTGTAGAGGAGCCACTTGATCTTATCAGACTCAGTCTGGACGAGCGAATCTATGTCAAAATGAGGAATGACAGAGAGCTTAGAGGCAGACTACACGTAAGTAAAATTTCAGAATACTCTTGTAGTCATTCAGCTAAGCCTTTTTTTATGTACAGCAGTCTGTTATGCAAGTTTACCTGTAATATTCTATTGGTGGTTGAAAAAAACAGTTCGAAACCACAAGTAATTGTTTCTCAGTTGAAAGTAGGGAAGTGGCTAGAGAAGGTAGGTTAAAATGGTCTTGGTAAGAAGGGCTGAACACTTTCCCTTATCAGAAGTGTAATGTGATGGGTGGGGAAATCTAATTTGTTCAGCACTCTGTCTGCTATTAACTGCTGCTCTAGGAAGTCAGGAGATGAATTGCTTGGTATCATTCAGGAGACAAGAAAAACAAAATACATTTCATTGCTTTTGGCTTCCATTTCTGTGTCTGTGGAACAAGTAATAATGCTGTAGGCCTCTTGTGATGTACCCTGGGGTCTCTTCAGGACAGAATTAAGAATGAGGTTATTACTATCAAACAAGTATCTCAAGGCACACCCTGTGAGGGTATGGTAGGATTTGGATTCGACTGGGTTCTCCACAAATCTCATCTGTGTAAATGTTTTCTTCTGAGATATGCCTCTTGATGAGACAGAGTTTTGCTTTCTGGTAAATCAGTTGTCCTTCCTGAGTGCTGTGCTCTGCTGGGGAAGAGAACCAGTTGTCCCATGTATTCACTGGGTCTCAACTCCTTTGGGAACACAGAGCTGATGAGAGATCCATGAGGGACACATGTAGTTTGCAATGTGCTTTTGTAAGGTTTTTGCAACTGGTGTTTATTTTACGTTTTTGTAGCACTGTATGAGCAACAATTTTCATAGCCTTTAAGCTGGCTCCAGGCAATCAATTCCAGGAGGCTGGACTGGCAGCTTAATGTTAATGAAGAGTGTCTGTCTCCGAGTTCTTGTGTGTGTTCTCACGGAATGCTTCCAAGCTATTTCCCAGAAGAGTGTTTCAGTAAATGTAAATGTCTTCCCTTGTTTTTGTGCTGCAGAGTACCCATTTGTTTATGTTTGTTTGGAATTATAACTCCAACTGATACTGCTTTGTTTTGACATAGTGACGTGTTTTGGTCAAAATCAGACTAAACTAATTATGTCTGAAAGTCTTAGTAAAATTCTCATTTCAATAAGCTCGTTTGAATCTTGGAACAAATAATAAACTAACTTCATCCCTACAGGCATATGATCAACACTTAAACATGATTTTGGGTGATGTGGAAGAAACTGTGACTACAATAGAGATTGATGAAGAAACCTATGAAGAGATTTATAAAGTAAGAACTTGGTGTATTTGTCCCCATAGAAAAGTCTTTTAAAACTAAACTGTTAGATTGTTGAAGTAGTTTATTGCTGACTGGTGTTTGAACCAAGCTCTAACAGAAATATGGGATGAATTGTTATGGAAGTGCACGGGATATCTGAAGACTTGGTGTTAGTTGTATTGATTTCTTTAGGGTGACAGAGCGTTGTATGTTTGTTGGAGTTGTTTCAGGTGTTTGTATGATTGAATTGGGTCATATGCATAGCAGATACGTTTTATAAACTATGCTTTTGTAAGTGTAAACTTTTCTTTTCTTCTTCAGTCTACCAAAAGGAATATTCCGATGCTGTTTGTCAGAGGGGACGGCGTTGTGCTCGTAGCTCCCCCGCTGAGGGTTGGTTGAAGCAACAAAGGATTTAACCTTACTGGAAAGTTCCAGACTTTTGGACAGTGGTTCATGTTTAGATCCTGTTTCAAAATTCTGCACATGTTTTTTTATAGGGTGTTTTTGTATGTTTTTTTTGGGAAGGGGAGGGAAGGGGAACCACTTTGTCTTGCAGAGAGTCCATGTAGTCAATTGAAGCAGTGTAAACCCAACCTGATTTTCTCAGAGTTAATCTAACTGCTGTAAATTGACTGTCTTGTCACACCAGTAAAAGAATCCTTTATTTTCTCACTCTTGGCAATAGTACTGTCTTTTCTGTTTGTTTGTTTTTAAATAAATTTTGGTTTATCTTTCAGATTTGACTTGTCATATTTTTGTGTTGAGGACATTATTCTTATGCTCTTCCATAGAGCTAGTGCTTCACTAAGTGATAGCATGCAGCCTCACTTTCTGAGAAAGTAGTAACAGTAGTGTGTTGTTTTAACTTCTGTCCTTACTAATACCTGAGTCTTGAAGATTATTATTTTTGGGGACAACACTGGAAGAATTTATGGTGCTGTGATTTATGGCTTTCCTGTGTTTAAATTCTTGATACACATCCTTGTAGCAGGGAAGTAGTTTGTATATGAATCTTCCACTGAAGATATGTACAGAAGATGGGCTGCTTTGCAATGTTTGCAGATGTTTTCATTGTGGCTCTGTTAAGAGAGCTGTGGTTTGCAGGGCCATACACAGAGTCTGAGGAGGTTGCCTTGCAGGCTGCTGGGTTTCCTGCTGCATGCATTCATTTCCTGCTGTCTACAGCCTGTGTCAGTTCTTGAACACATTAAATTCTGCTGAGTGCTTAAGATGCTCATTAGTTATCTGCAGTGAAGGTGCACTAGAGCACTGAACAAAGCTCTTTTTTAATACATGCTTTCTCAGGCACACCCTGTTTGCAATTTATTCTCCTTCTTGTGTAGAAACAAGGACTCGTGCTATAATTATGTTGTAGAGGCATATGAGAGAGATAGGTCTGCACTGGAATATTTCTACAAGGCTTGACTTGTGGCTTAATAAGCTTAATTTATCTAGCTTCTCGGTGTGCTCTGTAAGGTTAGTGCCAGATCAGGCTGCTTTTGCTTTCTCCTTTAGGTAAAAATCTGCATAACCTAGTCCATAGCTTGTGACAGTGGTGAAGAATGCAAGGTCTGCCTTGGTAAGCTCCAAGCCGGATTCCTCTTAAAGGAAAGCCAAGTGTTTTGGCAACGAAATGTATAAACTCAGTAGATGAATGTATACTTCATTTTCTTTGAAATAAGGAAAGCAGGGACTGATACAAGATCTGCTCTGGCTTTTAGGTGACCTCTTTTACTCATGTTCTCATGCAGTGTCCTCTAGTATGAGGATAATAGGAGTGATAGCTAAAGCTGGCAAAGTGAAGCTATTGCTGTGAATTAGTGTGTTAGTAGCAATTACAATCTTACCGTTTTATCACATGAAGACTTACCACCATATTCCTTGCACTTTGTTAGGACTAATTGTTCCACTTGTACACGCAAAGAATTTGTTACCTTAAACCTGTGCACATGTGAGTCCTTTTGTGCGAATAAAAGAAGAAAGGATCTGTACAGCTTGCTAGGATAACATTCCTTGAATAAAGAATGCAGTGGCTTTGTAGCTGAATTCCCTCACTGCAGCATCCTTGCTCAAAGGACAGCGTTGTGTCTTTGCACAAGTTGGCACAGCAAGCATCAGCTCCTGATCCATGCACACACAACTCCTGATGTTGCAAGAAGGCCAGTGATGCTACAGCTATTCCCCCTTCTGGAAGGGGTACAAGGATGAGTGCAGAGATCCTTTTTAGTCTTATTTACCACTTGAGGCCAAAGTGAATGCATAGGGGGAACATAGTGATAGTCCTTCGGTTCCCAGGATCTGCACATTTGGGAAAGGAGAGAGTATGTTTAACAGAATCTGAAGGATTTCTCTTCCATTAATCTACATCCTTCTAGGAGACTGGTAAGCCCCTTGCTATGTGTTGTTATGGTATGTCACAGGCTGAATATTGTGTTCTCTGAAAAAACACTTCTGGTTTTGGCTTTGGTTTGGGTTTGATTTTGAACTTGCTACCTGTCACTTTCATGTGTGTAATGGACAATGTTGGCTTGGTGATATTCAGAGATAGCAGAGTATAGTTTATCTTTCCATCTTTTGTCCTTCTAATTGTCCTTCAGTTTTCTCTTTTCCAGGTTGCAAAGAGATTTTATATTTAATCATTTTTTGAAAGCTGCTCCACTCCTTGTATTGGAGGACTGACATGATGCACAAAGTATTGGTATATCAGGACCTTCTGCCTTGATAACTTTTAAAATTCATAGCTGTTACTAGCACTTTTAGGTTCTCTGGAAATTATAAGAGATGTGAGATTCACATTTCCTTTACTTGAGCCGTATTTGCCAGTGTAACACGTTTGTGTGTCCAGTTTTGGTATATTACAGAGCATCAGGACAGTTGGAAGAGATCAGCTCACCTGACACAGCTTACCCACGAGTCCCTGCAGAACTCTCTTAAAAATTTCTCATTTGTCACCTTCTGCTTCTTCTGCTTAAGTGAGACATTATGCATGGTGGTTGCTGGCTTAATTATTGTCTAATTGATTTCTTGGGTATTTACTGTCTGATTATAAGGATTTGTTATAGTTTGTGTCACTGTGTCATGGTTTAACCCAAGTGTCCATTAGCATCCTTGACCCTCTAATTTGAAATGAGCTATCTGTAGTGGGAACCAGCCTAAGTCTAAGCTCCTCTGTGATGAATGTGGATTAAAAAAAAAACCAAACAAAATCACAGACCCACAATCCAAATGAACCCCCCAAACCCCAAAACAAACAAAACCAAAAAATCATCAAACAAACCAAACTCCAGTGCCCAAAACATTTAAACAGCTTTTTTTGCCATCTTGTCTTTCTTGCTGTTCTTCCTATTCTTTGGTCGTCTGTTGGCTGTGCTCACCATTTGTCAAGATTTCTGCTCCTGATGAGTTTGAAAAAGAATTTGTTAATTTGGACCTTATTTTCTCAAGATTTCTCAAGATTTCTCAAATGCCTTTTCATGTTGTCTTATGCTTTTAGTCTGCTAGAACTTTGACTATTACTCAGCTTCTTGAAGCTTGGCTTTTTATTTCTGGTAGCTTTTTATAGACAGTAGCAGTAACATTCTGGTAGTTTTTAGCTGTTGGACAGCACCTGTTTTATAGATGGCAGAATAATTTCTCAATTTATTGCCTCTAAAGAATTTCTGTTCTTCCTGAAAACATCTCACCCTCAGCAGCTCTTTTTAAAGAAGATTTTTGTTATGTAATTCTCTTTTCAGAAGTGCTGATATAGTTAGATGTCCTACTGCTTTTGTGAGTGTTGGCTTCCTTGAAATTTGTGTGTGGACTCTTTGTGATTTTTGAATCTCTGACTCCTGTAGGGACACTAGATGGTGCTGCTCTTCTTCAAATTCAAGCTGTGTTGGCTTTGACTGATGAATGTGGCCTGTGTCAACAGGCCCTGTAGTGGAACAATTAGTCATTTGTTTTTAATTAAGATGGCACTTGCTGACAGTTTTGAATTAACTCAGCTGCTTGCCCATAAGTAAAGATCAAAATATGTTTTGATGTTTATGTAGGCACTGACTAAGCCCCCAAAAGAGTTAAAGTAAAACAGTACATGTGCCTTGCATTGTCAGATTTTAAAATGCACAAGCTCCAGGCTGGCAGCTTTGGTAGAAGCATTAGCTGAAGGATTACACTCTGTAGAATAAACTGTGATTGACCAGTTTGCTGCTAAGCACTGCTTGGAGAACAGCACTTGTGTGTGGAACACAAAGCTGCTGCTGCATCCATGGGTTCAGGTGCTTGTATGGCTGTCCAGTACCTTCACTGGAGAAATTCACTGCAGTTAAAACTCGGCAGGGGGAACAGCCTGCACTTGGGTAGTTATGTACATTAAACTCCTGAAGTGATAAATATTCAGTGTATTTCAAGTCACCAATGCTGCCTTTTTGGACCCACAGAAGAAGGTTTTGATTCAGTCTACATATCGGAACAAGACAGAATTGTCTTCTAGGTCATGTAGGGTTTGGGGGGATGTTTGGGTTTTTTCAGGTTGAATAGAGATTAGATTGTGTTTCATTCCTATTTCCCAGCACAGGACAAGCCCAGGATTTGGATAATAGGTTCAGTAAGACTTTGAGCAGTGTGAGCAGTGTCAGGCTGCTGCCGCAGGGACTCAGAGCTGGAAAAGCAGAACAGTATTGATCATGTTGGGAGTTCTGCAGCAGCACTGTCTCTTGTGCTTCTGTTCTTGTTCCATAGGCATTGGAAATCTGTAATTTGAAATATTGAAGAGAAGGAAGCTTGTAAGCCCTTGGAATTCTTCGTAGAACTGTAGGACTGGGAAGGGAGCTGATTCAGTGCAAGATGACAAATGCTGTGCATTGTTTTTTGGACTGATGATGACATGGACAGAAAATCCTATCAGGCTTGTTGCAGTTTAAGGCATTCATGCCAAGATCATTGATGGGCTGAATACATCATTACTGAGGGTGTAGGACTCCCATGTTTCTAAACAGGAAGCTCCTTTCATATATTAAACAAAAAGAAGGGGAAAGAAAAATACAAAGTTCTACAGAAAATTGAAGCCCAGTGTCCAAGCCAGCCTTTTGGGGGGAAGAATGGGTGGAAGGAAGAGAATAGATGATGTGGGTTGGAGCGGAAAACAAGAACCACTGACGGAAAAAGATGTAGTCAGAAACTCTGTTCATGAGTGAATTTTTCATTGTTACCCAAATTAGGTTGAATGGAAGAAAGGCCCACTCCCAAATTTTGGAAACTCAATCCAAAAGGCCTATTTAGTTTTACAATGGCATTTGATGGGTTTATGATGTGACTGCCTGCAGCAGCAGGGGACTAGGCGTGCTGAGTGTCTGTGTGGGTGGACAGGCTATTGCAGAAAGCACTGCATAAACCTTTGGAGGAGTTGGGTAATGACTGATCACTAAGGGAGGGTTTGGCAGGGTTTTGCTTTGTGTGCCACATGGTAAATGTGGAGATTTACTTACTCAAGGTGCATGTGGAAATCTTTGGAAGAGATCAGAATATTCCATTGTAGGCACATTTTGCAAGTTTCTCTTTGGTTTTAATGTTGAAAATTGCTCTAGGTTTTTAGAACCAGTTGTTCAATTAAGTTTTGATAAAGACTTATGTTTTATGCATCTGTGCTGGCTAAACATGATGCTCTTGGATCACAGTCTGTTGGTTCATGTCACCCAAAGCCCATGTCAGTCCACAGTTGCTCTCTGCAGTAGATGATCTAGTGCTCTAGGCTGTTT